AAGATTGAAACCATTATTTCTGACATAGTGACAAGCTTGAAAACATCTCTTCAGACACATTGATAAGATTGATAACATCCCATAAAGTCACATTGGCAAGCTTGAAAATATCCCCTCAGACACATTTGCAAGCATGGAAACATCCTTTTTGACATAATTTACATGCTTAAAAACATTGCATCTCACACATTGGCAAGCTTGAAAACATCCCTTCAGACAACAAAAAAAGGTTGAATCATGTCATCTGGACTTCGTTTTTTGTTAAAAAGAAACGTTTCGCCCCTCATCCAAGAGGGGCTTTTTAACAAAAAACGAAGTCCAGATGACATGATTCACAGAGTTGATTAAAGCATGAATGTCCTTTTCTAGGTCAGGACAATTTATAAACGTTTTAACATTGAGGTGGTTTGGGCATCTGGTAAGAATGCCCCATGGGCGCCTCCCAGGTGCTTCGGGCATATTCGACTGGGAGGAGACCTAGGGGAAGACCCGGGACACGCTGTAGATACTATGTCTCTTGGTTGGCCTGGGAACGCCTTGAGGTCCTTCCAGAAGAGCTGGAAGAGGTGGCTGTGGAAAGAGATGGCTGGACCTCCCTGCTCGGGCTGCTAGCCCCGCGACCCGACTTCGGAACAAGCGGAAGAAAATGGATGGGACTTTGGTTAAAAGACATAGCTGATAAAAACTGGCCTTGACTACAGAGGATGTTTGTTTATCAAACTTCAATTTTTTGTCAAAGTTCACACCCAGGTTTTTAACTGGGTCAGAACTCTGATGTAAGAGCACCAAAGTTGCCAGGAATATCATCAGCAAAAAAAATACAGAAGGTCTTTCTTCCATCCATCCATTATCTTTTACCTGTTTCTTCCATTTTGGGTCACGGGGGAGGTCGCCGGTGCCCATGTCCAGCAATCACTGTGCGAGGGGCAGAGTACACCCTGGACAGGTCTCCAGTCCATCACAGGGCCGCATAGAGACAAACAAGACAAACAGCCATTCACTCTCTCACTCACACCTAAAGACAATTTAGAATTACCAATCAGCCTAACATGCATGTTTTTGGTCTGGGGGAGGAAACCGGAGTACCCGGAGAAAACCCGCGCATGCATGGAGAGAACATGCAAACTCCACCCAGAAAGACCCCCGGACCGGGATTGGAACTGGGGACCTGCTTGCTGAGAAGCAACAGCTCTACTAGTTGCACCATCATGCTACCCCAGAAGGTCTTTCCTTCATTTAAAAACAAAAAATGTTGGTGAAGCCACCAAACGTTTTTGACAATACAATCAATAAAAGAAATGTGAGGACTGCTACTTTTAGAGTTCGGCAAACAAATGTGCAAGTCATCTGCATAAAAGTGAAAAGATGTGACTGGCTATAACTGATCCAAGAGGCAGCATAGAGGAAAAAAGAAAGTACCGAGAATAGAGCCCTGCAGCACACCACAAGAAAGAGGAGCAATAGAGGAAGACAGAGTACCCATCATGACAGAGAAAGTTATGTTGGCCCAGTAGGAGAAGAACTGCTTGAGAACCAGGTAACCAACATAGCGCTGAAGTCGAGACAGATCGACAGCAGGTCGATGGTATCGAAAGCAGCTGGAAGATCCAGCAGCACCAGAACAACTGGACACTTGGCATCCATGGACATGGTAATGTCATTATGGACTTTTAACAGGGCTGACTCATTACTGTGATGAGTTCTAAATCCAGACTGGTTTTTCATAAATGCCAAGTTTTTGTAAGCCAGGTTGTAACTGCATAAAAACAAGTTTTCCAAAACGTTAGCTAAAAAAAGGCAAATGAGAAATAGATTTAAAAGAAAATTGGATTGGATAGATTTGGACCTAGTCTTCACTTTTAGTAATCATGTCATTGGTTCAGTCTGTCATGGAGCAGAAGGTTCTGAGCCAAAAAGAAAAGCTTGATTTACCGACCCAATTTTGTGAGAACCCTCACTCATGGTCATGAGGTCTGGATCAGGAGCCTGCATTCGAGCAACTGAGATGGGTCAAAGAACTGGGCTCAGCCTTAGAGATAAGGAGCTCCGTCATTCAGGAAGGGCTTGGAGGGGAGCTGCAGAGAGAGGGATGACTGGGTTTCCCTTTGTGGCCTGCTGCCTCCGGGACCCGACCACGGATCAGCAGCATAACAGGAATGGCTGGATGGAAGTGCACGTGTTTCCAAAAAGGTGAGGCTGTTCAGAGACCAATGTTGTCTAAGCAGTTCAGCTGCCCTGACATGATATCATCACCATATCTGTTGTTGGCCATGTAGACACAAGTGTAATGGACACTGTAGGAGAGAAATATTGTCATGGTTGAGATAAAAAAAAGTGAGAAAAATCACCTTAAATGGGTTTTAAACTACAAATAAACTCACCGCCTTTTATCTGGGCTTGGAACCTGAAAAAGTGACCTAAAAGAGGCACTCAGGTCTTTTTACCACAATGATGTATTTTAGACATTTTTACATTTACATCGTGCCCTGACTGTAGTCCATTGCTGTGTCAGCCAGCACAGAGTGGTCCATGGTAGGCCTGTCACGATAACAAATTTTGCTGGGTGATTAATTGTCTCATAAATTGTTGCGATAAACGATAAAATTGTTTGAAATTTGACAATAATTAGTAGTTATTGTCAAATTTAAGAATAAATGTTGGTTAATTTGTTTTGTGTGTAGTAACTTTTTTGACCACCGGATGGCAGTATAAGACTGTTTGAACCAAAGGATAGACAGTGAGGGAGAGAGCAGCTTGTCTCATTAAGAAAAATGGGAGGGAGGCCCCTTGACGTGACATGGGCTGTCTCTCGTGCCTTTTTTCGGTTCTCAAAATGGTGGATACTGGGTGTGGTTTCAGCTCTTTAGCATAGCATTTGTCACACAAAGCTTTTAATAAAAAATCAGTAAACAAGTTCTCAGCTTCTTTTTTCAGAGAAAAACAACTTTTTACACAAAGGCACGTGTTTCAACTGTGAATTTTGGAGCTTCGACAAGACAAAGGTTTTTTTCCCTAAGGTCGGCCTGTTACCTTAGCTCGTAGCTTAGCTTCTCAGCTTAGCTGCTTTTAATGATCAAAAACCTATTTTGGACAGTTAAAATGGATTTAAAGGAGAAAGGGAGGGGTCAGTGAAGAGCATCGGAGTTGAGCCTTTTGCCATCCAGTGTCTTCAGTAGAAAGAGAGAAACAAAGAAACGATGAAGCCGATAAATGAAAATGAGGTTGATAATTTTATCATGCGATTTATTGATTTATTGTGACAGGCCTAGTCCATGGCAGAACCTGCTGCTTCAGAACCAGGTTTGCTTTCGTATCAGAATCTTCAAAATCATTCATAAACACCAGAAAACATTCACCAGATTTGTTATTAGCCTCGTTTATGAAAACAAGTTGTTACAAGGTTAGCAAACTGTTAGTGACATAAACACTTCTCCAGGAAATATACTGTACACTTTCATCAAGTTTAATCAAACATATAACTCATACTGTACATACAAATATATCCAGTGGTACCATTTGTTTAAAAAAAAACAAATAATCAAATAAATTATATGACCCAAACAAAACTGCTTTTTGTCTTTAGTAGCTGAGCAAAATCCAGCCAGTACTTCCAGCCTGCAGGCCCTAAAAGCCAACTGAATCCAACTTTATGAGCAGTTCACTTCAACTCAAATATGAGACTATTGAATGGAACCCCCCACAGGCTTTAACACGCTTCTGTAATGAAATGTAATTTGCTGAAGCAAATAAAATGATAAAACTATGGTAAGTGCATGGGAAATAATGAAAAAGTATTACTGTGAATTTGCTCACAAATGTACCTAAAATGTGTGAACAAAAATGGTAAATTTCTTTAGAACCTGGATGATATAAAAGCTGCTCTCTACAACATCAGTGATAAATCCATTCTGTCCCACGGCCCATGAAGGTCCAGAATAATCCTGGATTAGATGATTAAAAAGAAGATGTAACTTGCTGCTTGCTCAAACAAAGAACTGAGACATCGGATCAGAGATTGTCCTGTGACCTGCTGATGATGGAGGTTGTTTAAAAGTTGGGGGGGGGGGGGGAGGCTAAATGTTGAGCTAAAAGTGCCAGGGTAAAAAAGGTGTTGTAGCAGTTTAATCATTTCACACTTTAACTTTGCTCTCAACAGTGTGCCGGTCTTGAAACCCAAGGCAGAAGGCACCTTCATGGCATGTTCCAGTCAGAAAACCCAGTCTTTATTTATTTTACTTTTCAACATGGAGGCGTTGAAGGGGAGCATCATAGGTGTGGGTGCAGGTACAAAATGGCTCCCGAGTCCTCCAGCTTTTTTAAGGCTTTGGCTTCATGATTGACATCATGGTGAGAATTCTGTGAGACAGAGGAGAAACAATTAGGTTTTTAAACATGTGTACAAAAACACAGAGAACGTCTGACGCAGGGGTCTGCAACCTGTGGCTCTGGAGCCGCATGCGGCTCTTTGGTCCCTCTGCAGCGGCTCTTTCCATCTTTGACCCAAACTAACATAAAACTGAATTTTATTGATTGTCATACAAACAACAACAACAAAAGACTAGTTTTAGCAGTTTTCTTGTCATTTTCTGTGCAAATATGTGAATGTTGGAACTAGTACAAGGAGTAAAACATATTAACATTGTGCTTTTTTTCTCTACTAAATAAAATTTTCCACAATTAAAAAAATCCCATAGGACTGCATAGTTTTTTTTAAACCATCCAACGCCCCCATCTTTACAAGAATCTGGTGGGTTCATTTGTCTTAAATTAAAAAGCTGAAAATACGTAATGATTTTTAACATTTACTGATATTTTTACGTCACCCCTACTGGGAACAAAAGCCACCTCCAACAAGCCAAAAGTGGCCCATGAGCCACCAGTTGATAATCACAGTTAGCAGGTTGTTGCGGCTCTGAACGCTTTTAATTTAGTGAACGAAGGTGTAAAAAAAATGGCTCTTCTGATCATAAAGGTTGCAGAACCCTGGTCTGACGTGTAACGGACGACGGCTACCCACCATCATGGATTTCATCGTGGCATGTCCGTAGTAGTGGATGGGATTCTGTGATTTCTTTGAACTGGGGTATCCAAATCCAGCTATGTGAACTATGTCGCAGTAGTTGAGAGCAACAACAACAGCAAGGAGCCCCGTGGTAGGATGCACCGGAGTCTGGAACAAACAGGAGGGAAATCATGACAGTTAACCAGCTGAGACTTTACAAGTTTCTGACAGTGACCTAAAAAAGGTAAACATCCCAAAAGTACTGGACGTTAATTATAGACATTAAATTTGATGTTGAAATAAAAGGTTCTGAGGTTCAGGTAAAAAACAGCCTGTTTGACTTTACTGTATTATTACCGTAAAGCATGCTTTAGCTCATCTAACCACTAGGTGGCGGTAAAGAGACAGACATTATCAGCTGCACACAGCGACTTCCTGTTGATCAAACCCAGCATTGTCATCAGCAGAATTCTGACTAAATGAGTTTTATCACTAGCTCATAAAGTTCTGGGTTTTACAATGCTGTGTAAACAAATTCCAGACAGTAAAAGAGACACAGCTTAGAGTATAACTCACTGGTAGATTTGGTTGTAAATATACAGACAGATTTTTTTTTCCTGGATAATTCTTAGACAAACTGCAATCTTGGTTGATATAAAGTGGCACGATGGGTGAGTTCTACTTTAAAAGTAGTTAAAGTACAATGAGAATGATGATCTACGACTAGGTTGAAATTTTACCAGGAGTCAAAGATTGACTCCCTCAAAGCATGCAGCCTAAAGTTACCAACACTTTGTTAGTGGATGATTAATTTATCTCCGTTTATGAGATACATGGTCAGCGTATGTGTAAGATGAATATAGCATATTGTAGCATAAGACTTAAAATGTTAAACAATAATAAAAAAAAACAATATAACTAGGAATGAGCCGATGATCTGTTTCAGTGTGGACCACAGATTTTCTGTGTGGCCCTTAAAATAAAGAATCATCCTGCATTTGTAGCTTTACAGACGTGTTCCTAATTAAAATGACTAGAAACACAATTTGTTTCTTATTTCAAGAGCCAGATCTGATCTGCTTATAGAAAATGAATGATTTTATTTAACCTTTATTTATACAAGTAGTCTCATTGAGTCACAAGAACTCATTTTCAAGAAAGACCTGTTTGGGAGCAGATGATTGTGGTTAAGGGCCTTGCTCAAGGGCCCAGAGTGGGGCAAAGGTTGTTGGAGGCAGGTGTGGGTGTTTCAACATTTCCACCCACATTTTGATGTTGGCAAGCGGCAGAGATCATGACGTGCTGCAAGAGGGAGCTTCTCCCTGCACCTGTGGGCTGCACCAAATGCAGCAGGTGCTAAATCAGTTAAAATAATTTACTTTAAACAAGTCATTATTTAAAGTAATTAAATGCAGTAATTTCTTCAGGAGAGTACAAAAGTTCTTTATGTGTGAACAACACACACTTTCACATGAGAATGGACCCTTGGTTTATATTTCTGCCCTGCATGCTCAAGCTCCTGAGTGCTAAACACTGTAAGAACAAATGGTTTACTGCAGGTGTGAAACAGTAGAAAGACACTTCCTGCCAGTAACTACCAACAATGTTGCACTTTTCAAAGTTTAAAATAGTTCAGCAACACGTCCTTTACAACTTCTTAGAACCAAGGCACTGACACATCAACTTCTGGCAGGTTCAAAGCTGAAAAAATGGCAAAGTGAGACGACCTGAACTTTACATCTTCAAACGTTTTATTTCGTTCAGAATTTAGTTGAGTGTTTTAGGACTTAGGACGAGGATACACATTCTCCAACGTTTACAATCATAATGTCATTTCAGCGTCAGCCTTAGGGCCACATTTCTTCAGTTTATTGTCTAGTCAAAATTCAAACCGTTTGGGTACATTTGAATATCTGGTTGAAATTCCAAAAGAATCTGTTTTGTTGCAGCGCAAAGTTTGTCATAAATATAACACCCGTTTACATTCTGAACTTGGTAAAGTTTTCAACCACATGCCCAGTGTCTACTCTATTTTAAAACTTGGATAAGAAAAAAATCAGTATGTTACATTCATCTACTGTAATATCAAATATAATAGCAAATATCAATCCTGCAGAGAAAACACAAAGACAACAGGGCCAGATGCAAAGATCGCCGGGCACGTGTTGCAAACTGAATGATCGCTTATATTAATTTTAATAATAAATCTAATAACTGCACTGATCTAAAACCAAAAAAAAAAAAAAAAGACAGCCTTCTTATTTTCTTTTTCTAACATTAAGCTAGGTACAGAACAAAATTTGGGGTTGAATCTGTCTGTCAATATATATATATATATAATTAAATTATGGAACTATCCAGAAACAATGTCTGCCTACACTTTAGAAGAACGCAGTGAAAGCATGAAAAGACTAAAACGTAACTGTGAGGCTGAGAGAGAAGGGTCAAAGTTCAGGGTGATGGTAGATATTTGTTATTTAAACTGTAACTGTTGGGAAATAAAGTTGAACTTTAATCTGAGTTTACAGAGATATTTGTTTTTTAGGAAATCAAGAAAAAAAGAGAAACGAATTTAGCACTTGACAGTGATTGTCTGTGTTCACAGAAATAATAAGAAGAATTGTTTCCTTGTGACCTGCCGATAAATAAATACCTCCTCCACCCATTGACACAATGCTCTCTCCCATCAGTCTTTTCATATCTCGCCCTTCGTCCGCTTCAAATGTTACTCCCACAAGGACTCTGTCTACCCAGGAAATGGGTTTCTTTGTCCAACATCTCACTGAGACACGCAAAAATCAGCTCAGAACATGAATGAAGTGCAGAAGAGCAGCTGCCGTGAAGGAAATGCTGCTTTCACTGACAAACATTTTCTGATGGCAGCTTGAATACTGTGTGGTCTCCTACAGGTCTGTGATCTCATACAGGTCTGAGATCTCATACAGGTCTGAGATCTCATCCAGGTCTGAGGCATCATACAGGTCTGTGATCTCATACAGGTATGTGGTCTCTTACAGGTCTGTGATCTCATACAGGTATGTGGTCTCATACAGTTCTGAGGCATCATACAGGTCTGAGGTATCATACAGGTATGTGGTCTCATACAGGTCTGAGGTCTCATACAGGTCTGAGGTCTCATACAGGTCTGTGATCTCTTACAGTTCTGAGGCATCATACAGGTCTGAGGTATCATACAGGGCTATGGTCTCAAACAGGTCTGAGATCTCATACAGGTCTGTGGTCTCATATGGGTCTGAGGTCTCATACAGGTCTGTGGTCTCATACAGGTCTGAGGTCTCATACAGGTCTGTGGTCTCATACAGGTTGGAAGTTTCATACAGGTCTGTGGTCTCATAAAGGTCTGTGGTCTCATACAGGTGGGAAGTTTCATGCAGGTATGTGGTTTCATACAGGTCTGAGGTCTCACACAGATCTGATGTCTCATATAGGTCTGTGATCTCTTACAGGTCTGAGGCATCATACAAGTTTGTGGTCTCACACAGGTCTGAGATCTCGTACAGGTCAGAATTTTCATACAGGTCTGAGGTCTCATATAGGTCTGTGGTCTTAAACATGTCAGAAGTTTCATACAGGTCTGTGGTCTCATAAAGGTCTGTGGTCCCATACAGGTAGGACGTTTCGTACAGATCTGTGGTCGCATACAGGTATGAGGTCTCATACAGGTCTGAGGTCTCATACATGTCAGATGTTTCATACAGGTCTGAGGTCTCATATAGGTATGTGGTCTCATTCAGGTCTGTGGTTTCATACAGGTCTGTGGCCTCATAAAGGTCTGTGGTCTCATACAGGTCTGAGGTCTCATACAGGTCTGTTGTCTCATACAGGTCTGAGGTCTCATACAGGTCTGAGGTAAATGGTACATAGACTGTACTTATATAGCACCTTTCTATCCATCAAGACACTCAAAGCCAGACCTGGTCTGTGTGACCCTTTCACTTCACTGTTTTATGAAAGAGCTTAAAATCAACACATAAAAACAGTATGTGTGGTGAATGACTCTCACCTACTACCACACAAAATTCTAGATCAACATATGTAAACTCACTCAATTATATACATATAATATTTAATATAAATATATATACATTTATATATACAAACCGGATTCCCAAAAGGTTGGGACACTAAACAAATTGTGAATAAAAACTGAATGCAATGATGTGGAGATGGCAAATGTCAATATTTTATTCGTAATATAAAATAGATGACAGATCAAAAGTTTAATCTGAGTAAATGTAACATTTTAAAGGAAAAATATGTTAATTCAAAATTTCACAGTGTCAACAAATCCCAAAAAAAGTTGGTACAAGTAGCAATAAGTGGCTGGAAAAAGGAAATTGAGCATATAACGAACAGCTGGAAGACCAATTAACACTAATTAGGTCAATTGACAACATGATTGGGTATAAAAAGAGCTTCTCAGAGTGTCAGTGTCTCTCACAAGCCAAGATGGTAAGAGGATCACCAATTCCACCATTGTTGCGCAGAAAGATAGTACAGCAATACCAGAATGATGTTACCCAGCGTAAAATAGCAAAGACTTTTAAGTTATCATCATCTACCGTGCATAACATCATCAAAAGATTCAGATAATCTGGAACAATCGCTGTGCGTAAGGGTCAAGGCCATAAAACTCTACTGGATGCTCGTGATCTCCGGGCCCTTAAACGTCACTGCACCTCAAACAGGAATGCCACTGTCAAGGAAATAACAGAATGAGCTCAGGAATACTTCCAGAAAGCATTGTCAGTGAACACAATCCACCGTGCCATCCGCCGTTGACAGCTGAAACTCTACAGTGCAAAGAGGAAGCCATTTCTAAGCAAGCTCCACAAGCTCAGACGTTTGCACTGGGCCAGGGGTCATTTAAAATGGAGTGTGGCAAAATGGAAGACTGTTCTGTGGTCAGATGAGTCACAATTTGAAGTTCTTTATGGAACACTGGGACGCCATGTCATCCGGACCAGAGAGGACAAGGATAGCCCAAGTTGTTATCAATGCTCCGTTCAGAAGCCTGCATCACTGATGGTATGGGGTTGCATTAGCACTTGTGGCATGGGCAGCTTGCATGTCTGGAAAGGCACCATTAATGCAGAGAACTATGTTCAGGTTCTAGAACAACATATGCTCCCATCTAGACGTCATCTCTTTCAGGGAAGACCCTGCATTTTTCAGCACGATAATGCCAGACCACATTCTGCAGCAATCACAACATCATGGCTACGTAGGAGAAGGATCCGGGTACTGAAATGGCCAGCCTGCAGTCCAGATCTTTCACCTATAGAGAACATTTGGCGCATCATAAAGAGGAAGGTGCGACAAAGAAGGCCCAAGACGATTGAACAGAGGCCTGTATTAGACATGAATGGGAGAGCATTCTTATTTCTAAACTTGAGAAACTGGTCTCCTCTGTCCCCAGACGTCTGTTGAGTGTTGCAAGAAGAAGAGGGGATGCCACACAGTGGTAAAAATGGACTTGTCCCAACTTTTTTGGGATTTGTTGACGCCATGAAATTTGGAAACAACAGATTTTTCCCTTCAAATAATACATTCTCTCAGTTTAAACTTTTGATCTGTGATTTGTGTTCTATTCTGAATAAAATATTAGATGTTGACACCTCCACATCATTGCATTCAGTTTTTATTCACAATTTGTTTAGTGTCCCAACTTTTTTGGAATCTGGTTTGTATATATATATATATATATATATATATATATATATATATATATATATTTGTGTTTGTTGCAGTCAGCTGGCTTTGGTGGCCCTATTACAGTTGACTCATGCTAAAAGATTTTAGTTTCATTAAAATAGGCCCAGTGGTTCAAGAGATATTTTATTAACAATAAGATAAACAAGACACAAAAAGACACTCTTGTCCACCTTCAGATTTTTGCTGCAGGAGATCAAGAATATATATATATATATGCAGTTGGTAGAGCTGCTGCCTCTCAGCAAGCAGGTTACCCTGGTTCCAGGGACCTTTCTGGGTGGAGTTTGTTCTCTCCATGCATGCGTGGGTTTTCTCCCCGGGTACTCTGGTTTCCTCTCACAGACCAAAAACATGCATGTTAAGCTGATTGGTAACTGTAAATTGTCCCTAGATGTGAGTGAGAGAGTAAATGGTTGTTTGTCTTGTTTGTCTCTATGTGTCCCTGTGATGGACTGGAGACATGTCCAGGGTGTCTCCCGCCTCTCGCACAGTGATTGCTGGACATGGACACCAGTAACCCCTGTCACCCAAAAGGAAGAAGTGGGTAAAGATGGATGGATAGATGGATGGATTGAATGATGGTATAAGACCTGACTTTAGCTCCTCAGTGCTCTTCCAACCTCCCTACAGTCCTCTGGTCCTGGACTCTTCTGGACAGTGTACAGATGGTGTTGTAGAGCTCCTGTTGGGTCAGCCCGCTGACTGCCTGGAAGATGGCTGCCCTCCCCTGCTCACTCCTCTCATGCACTTACCAGTTGCGTTTGGACTGCAGCCCAACAGAGTAACATTCCTGGTTCAGATTGTCCTCAGGAGAGGTGAAACAACCAGAACCAAAACAAAGCCTGGCCCAGAGTCAAACCAGAGATGAACCCCACAAGCCTCACTGAGTCATGGGTAAAATAAAACTACATTCCAAACAGAGTATAAAACCCAACTCACACACTGGGTTTCACAATCACATCTGAAAACCATGCATTGTTATGTTTGGTGATTGCGCAATCACAGCTTTTTCATGATGTTCTGAAAAGTTATGGTTTCACTTTTCTTTATCTTGTTTTCATGAAGTTATCTTTATTTAACTGCAAACCAAAGAAAAAAAAAACTAGTGATAAAGTTTTTGTTTGTGTGTCTGTGAGTCAGTTTGCCTCTGGGCAAATTAAAACTTGCATAAAGGAATCATTGGATGAACATTTACAACTGATCATCTTCACCATAAAAAGACATAAATGACTCTAACTCAGTCAGTTTTATACTGTAGATGCAGAAATAAGACTTGGTGTGGTAGTAGCTGAGAGTCATCCTCAACAAATACTGAGTTTGACATCTCTCAAAGTTACATGAGATCACAGTTGAGTCATTTTTAAGGTCTCACTAAAACTACAACTCTGTCATGTCTCAACATAAGAAGATACTGGTCTAGAACTCAAGTGACGTGTTCATCTGACAATGTTGGACTTTTAATTTCTTTAAATAATCACACTTTGAACCGACAATAACTAAATATAAAAATGAAATAAAAACAGCAGTGCACTGATGTCCCCCATCTCCAAGAGATTTGGATAGTGAGTGTTTGCAGTTGTTGCAGTTTGGAGATGAGTGTTTTTCTGGAAACTTGAACAGAAAATGCAAGTAAATCTTAATGTTTTTGATGTAAGATATCCAAGTGGGTGTAAGATACACTGTGGAAAAGAACAGAGGGAAGACTTTTGTTTATTTTGTCTGAGGCAGCGCAGTGTGATGGATCCTGAGAGTGAAAGGAGACATTTTATCCACAACTAGGTGCAATAATGGAGTCAGGGGGGCTAATGGTGGCTTTGGCCCCCATAATTTAATCTTCAGTCACCCCAGTCATTTGAAGAATCTATACTTTTAAGCAGTAAAATAACAACTAGAAAGTATAGTTTCCTCACATGATTGGAGTGGTCAGTTTGTATACAAGTATGGCGGTGGCCATCTTGAGTTTTGAGGTGTCAACCAAAATTTCAATGGTAACCTTTAAAATAGATAGACGCAACAAAATGGAAGTCGGTACCTGGCTAATTTTTCAAGTTACGGTATCATGCTCACTACATGCACTGACGGAGGGTAGTTCGTCTTCCCCTCTTCAATCGGTGACGGGGGCCAAAAACGGATCCAAGTATTTATATTTCTCAGAAAACAAAAAGCAGCTCGACTTTCCAAAGAAGGGAAACCTTGTCTAAAAAAGGGTTTTAAACATTTATACTATTTTTTGGCTGTACTTCAAAAAACAAATATACGCGGATTTGTTGTGCAGCCCCTAAAGACACGAGACTATCTTTTAATGAGAAACATAATGGCCCAACAGAGGCTAATCTTTATCATGTTCGGGAGTAACTGAACCCACGAAATCACTAAAAACGTACGTTAAACATAAGGAATTTCTAGTAGTGTGTCTCTTTACATAAACAGTTTACACAACACTGAAAACAAACTGCTTGAGGAACTGTGTTTAATCAGTGGATAATCCCTCCAGTCTTGTTAACATTCATGTGGGAAACAGTGATAGGCAAGAACAATAAAGAGGGGTGGGAATGTAAGGAACAACGATGAGAGAATGTTCTTGTGGGAAAATTGGAGTAAAGAGCACAAAAAACACAACCATTGAGTGCACCCCTAATTACAGAACAAGACTTCAAAGTAAAACAATTTTTCTAGTAAATAAACTATTTGACTTTCTTCTAATTTAAAAATTATGCCTCAAAGAAATCCTCACAGGTGTAGTGTTGTAAAAGTGCTCCCTCACCTTCCCCTTTTGTCGAGAAATATGGAGAAGTTTTTCTGCAGTCTGGCGGAAAAAGTGTGGATCCAACACTCTGATCTTGCTGGGGTCACCCAACCAGATTTGGGGTGGAGGCTTCCAAAAGCCTTTCCTGACCTTGAATGTGCAAATGAGCAGAGATAAAATCCAGGATGTTATTGAAGTAAAAGGAACAAAAAGACAGTACAAAAAGGAAATGCTATTCTTGGTTGCCAGAAGGAGTTAATTTATGCAAACTGAGGAACAATTGAACTTTTGACTCCCTTGTTTCTGGAGGCCATTAAATCCATTAAATCCATGTGCAAATTAGCGAGTAATGACCTTGCAACTATTAGCAGTAGGAGGCCGGAGATGCCAGGAGCCACAGAGTGAAGGATGTCTGCTGTGGAAACTATGTCTAACTCTGAGAATGGAAGTTTAAAGGATTTGTTTGTGATGTGGAAACTGGAAGGAGATGGAAAAGCAAATAAACAGAATGTGTTTGCGTGTGGCGTGTATGGATGTTTGTTGAGTACCCGCTTCTCGTTGTAGAGAATCTCCTTGAGCCAGCGGAGATCCTGCATTTTGAAAGGTACCAGAACCAGGAGCGTGTCCGGATTGTTCTGCACCTCAGGGTTATAGTAGGCCGACTCTGGGTAGAAGAACCTCATGGTGGTCTTGTTCCCCACGTCGTCCTCGTAGCCTCTCACTGGGGCATCATTTAACCTAAACAGGAGCATTATTTTTATTTGTTTAGTAAAACTCATTAATTTAAATTCACAGTTGAGCACTAAAGGAGAATATATTTGTCCATTAAAATCTTAACGCAACAAGTTTCTGTTAATAATTTTTGCCTCCTATTTCTAAGAACTGCTGTATTGAAGATTTCTATTTTACTGTACTTCATTTTTACTGGCGCCAAATAAAATGTGCTTATTTACAAGATCTTTTAAAAAATGATTTAATCCTTACGCATACAGGTAACCACATTGATATAAGTGTTGATGAGTGTAACTTTAAGTGTTTAACAAAGTGGGTTTGTCTGGTTTATCTCCAGTATTGCAGCTAGATCCAAAGTCTAGTTTGTTTTGATGAGTCAGATGGTTTTCAACAGACAACTGAGCTAACAACAAGCATAAAACCAGCCCAGGAATGAAGCTAGTTTGAAAACAGACAATTTATGACAACTATAGTTAAATTAATTGAAGAAAAGTGTTAATAATGGCCAGACCCAAGATCTGAAGCAAATGCATCTAACATTACATTTTTAAAGTTGAGCATTCTTAAAGAGGAAGAGTTTGAAACTATGATCAATAGGTTGCGTTGACATTTTGTGTTTTGACAGACAATATGACAATATATCAAATGTTGTGAATGGCTGTCAGCCACTACCAGATCACATTTTAGCTCAATATCTATACAATTGACCAAGTTAGACAAATTTTATGTTGGATAATGTCAAGTAGCTGTGGCAGCCATCTTAAATGAATTTGATTCTAAAAGGTAATCAGTTGTAGATATACATACATCCAATAATTTACTTTCTAAAGTTTCATTGTAATCCATCCAGTGATTTATGATACTTTACTACCAGGCAAACAGGAATGACTCCAAAAAATTTTGCAAAAACTTTAGGCCAAGATCCTGCACACTTACTAGTATTTTAAATATGTGTTAGGAATGACTCTGAGCTACTACCATGCCAAATATTAGCATAATAACTGTAAAACTGATCAAATCTAGACAATTTTGTGTTCTCCAAGTTCTGCCTAAGGTTTGTCTAGCACTAGCATAACCTAGAAGAAGACCTAGTCCATGTCTGCATCAGTTTTGAGACATGTCACCGCTCGTACTCATTAATTTGTGACAGAACACTTCAACAAGAGTGCATGTGGCACTTTATATGTGCGTTGACAAACTATAATACAGTTGGTCTAGAGCAATAGCCCAGACAGGCAAAGACCTGGTATAACATTTTACCTTAATTTTTGGCCTTGACCTTGGTGCTGGGGTGATGAAATATGTCAGAGTCAGAGTTTCTTTATTGTCATTCGCATCTCATGTGGTACATGTGGTGGAGAGAAATTATGTACACGTGGCCCCAGTTACATCCAACAACAAAATGTATAAGAAAAACAGTAATAACATCTAAGATATGAACTAAGAAAAACATAAACTAAATATACACTAAGCACTCATAACATAAAACATTGAACATCAGCACAAACATGAACATGAGTCTGTGAGCAGATGTGCAGCATGAACATCTAGTGATGATGCAAATGTCGATGAAGTTTCATTAAATTACCTTGAGCAGATCAGAAGTTATGGGTCGGATAAGAGCCCTTTTACTGATGAACATTTGCACAGTGGCTATACCATAATACATCTTTCAACGGACATATAATACTAAAAAACTCCAGATTATCCCCAGCGGGCCAAAGCAGATGACCACTTGTACTGAGCCTGGTTCTGCTGAAGGTTTCTTCCTGTTAAAAGGGAGTTTTTTAATTTGTATTTCCACTGTTGCTTTTGTGCTTTGTGTAAAACAGTCGGGACCTGGCTGGCTTCTGCCTGACCTTCCATTTGCTACAGTCTGGACCTCTGCTAGTTCCAGCCTAGCCTATCTGTTACAACCTGGACCTCTGTAAGATTGTAAGTCACCAGACTAAATGTAGACAGTGAGGACACCACGCTCCGTTTAGACACTGCTACAGTGAGACGGGCATTCAAGAAGGTAAACCCTCGCAAGGCAACAGGGCCTGATGGCATGCCAGTACAGGTGCTGAGAGTGTGCGCTGACCAACTCACCAAGGTGCTTACTAACATATTTAACCTGTCTCTGAGCCTATGTATTGTGCCAACTATCTTCAAGACCTCTACTGTTGTCCCCATCTCAAAGACCTCTGCAGCATCCTGCCTTAATGACTTTCAGCCCATAGCATTCACATCTGTCATCATGAAGTGCTTTGAGCAAATTGTCGAAACTCACATTCGTGGCTCCCTCCCTGACACACTGGACCCCCTACAGTAAGCATACAGAGCAAACAGGTCTAAAGATGATTCTATTGCTTTAGCAGTTTACGCTTCCCTCAGCCATCTAGAGAAGGATATGTGAGAATGCTCTTCATTGACTACAGCTCAGCATTCAACACCATAATCCCTTCCAAGTTGGTCTCCAAGCTCACCACACTGGAATTGGTGAAGTCCATCTGCTGCTGGATACTGGACTTCCTCACCAACAGACCACAGGCAGTGAGAATTGGCAGTCACCTCTCCTCCACACTAGTCCTTAGCACCGATACACCTCAGGGCTGTGTCCTCAGTCCACTCCTGTACTCACTATTTACACATGACTGTACTGCCCAGCACAGCTCTAATGTCATCCTCAAGTATGCTGATGACACCACCATCTTGGGCCTCATCACAATGACGAAAGTGCCTACAGAGATGAAGTGAAATCACTGACCAGCTGGTATCAGGAAAATCAGGAAAATAACCTCTCTTTAAATGTCAGCAAAACAAAGGAGATGATAGTGGACTTCAGGAAACAGCATGGAGGCCAGCACTCCACCATCAACATAAACAATGCTGAGGCGGAGCAGGTCAGCAGCTTCAATTTCCTCTGTGTTCACATTACTGAGGATATGTCCTGGACGTTACATACAAACACTGTGATCAAGAAAGCCCGATAAAGACTCTACTTCCTAAGAAGACTAAAGCATTTTGATATGATCACCAGCATCCTCACAAACTTCTATAGGTGCACCATTGAGAGCCTGCTGACAGGCTGGATCACAGGGTGGTACGGGAACTGCACCAGTCAGAGCCGGAAAGTACTACAGAGGGTGATGCAAACAGCAGAGGACATCACTGGTAGCAGTCTCCACACCATCCAGGACATCTACCACAGCCGATCTCTGCATAAAGCACGCAGCATTATTAAGGACCACATCCACCCAGCGCAAGGACTCTTCTGTCTACTACCCTCAGGCAGAAGATACAGGAGTCTGCCATTGCGTACAAAAAGACTAAAGGACAGCTATTATCCACAAGCTGTCAGATTTCTAAACTCTCAATAAATAACACTGAACAACTGGCAATAACATTGCACCAAGCCACATCTGTGACAACCAATATGACTAATATTAGATTGTGACAGCTAATATTGTTTATTGTTTATTGCTGCTGCACTATTCAGGCTGTATCTAGGCTGATACTAGGCTGTATCATGTATGATACAGCATCTACCATTATAATTCAATCTCAGTGTCACTTACTACCTGTGTGATAACTTGTGACACAACCTGTGTAGCAAATGTTAGTTATGTGATATGTATATATATATATATATATATATATATAT